ATAAATTTAAATCATTTAGTTGTGTCCGTCTCTGGGGATTGAGATTTTAATTCAAAAAGGCTCAAACTTGAGACATCGACACTAGAGCATACAGGAACAGTTTACAGTCATGGACGGAACCAGGCATTTTTAAGGGGGAAGGAGGGGCACAGAAGTATTTAGAACTAGGGCTGAGGGGAATCTGGGGGACTCTCACAGCTTCGCAGGGGGTTCGGTTTCCATGCGGCCTCGCGGTGGATTAAGTCAATAGGAAAGGTCGGACGAAATTTGGAAACTTTAAACGCTTATAACTACGTTTATACAAAACTTTGAGGCTCTAAAAGAGGTTCCATTGATTTCTTCGTAAAATTTTCTTCTAAAAGCACCCCTAGAAAAAATTTTACGGAATAAACATCAACATTTGCAATATTAGTCGAACATTTCATTTTCGACCTCTCTAATTGACGCGCGACATACTGTGGGCCTCCCCCGGAGAATTTTTTAAAATTCGAACGTCTCGAGATTAAATTTAAGCCATTCTCAATGATAAATTAAATGGAATAATATATTTTAAAAGACAGGAATTTCGTTGATTTTTTTTTCCCACCTCACAGTGGGTTTTAATTTAATCCATACTAATGTATCTCTCATAGAAAAGTATTGCGGAACGTAGCAGTTTTATTCCAGCCTTTCACTAAAATGAAAGGCAATAATATATCGGATACAGAACCAGCAGGTCGAATCAGTAGCGAATCAGCAGGCCCGAGTCGGGTGGTTCTCATGACTAAGATGTAAAATGATGGACCAGCAGTAGGATTTCTCGTGGGTTGCCTTTAGCAAGTCCATTACTTGGCTTCCTTGTCCATTGCAAACACACGCATCTACCATTAGGATCGCTCAATCCTCCTTTTCTCTATGACTTTGTCTATCAATTTCAATAATCGGCCTGCTGTTGAAGCAAACAAAATGATGAACCAAGTATAGGATCTCTCGTGGGCTACTGTTAGTAAGTTCATTGCATTGCTTGGCTCCTTTGCCCACTGCAACCACCAGGGCCGGATTTACCTACTTGCCGCCCATGGGCCGCCTGTATTTTGCCGCCCCCTTCTCACTCGTTTTGAAACACCAATAAAAACCATCAAGTGAACGTGTCGGTGGGGGGGGGGGGGGAGGAGCGGATAAGACGCGTTCACTTGTGTTGGACACATTTTTGCGAAAGCCCTGTTAACACTACTAGCGAAAGTTCACGGAACTTTGCGCGAAAGTTAAGTTCAGTAAACCTATCTCTGCGTGGACAAGGACTTCCATTCGTAAGAAATGAACGGAAAAATTATGAAAGAGCAAATATTTGTGGTTTAATGCCGCGCCGACCGCGTGTGTTTGACGCAATGCGTGAAGTATTCATGCAGTCTTGTAGGCGCTTTGCGTTTCACGCTGACCGCTGCTGACCGTGCTGTGTTTGACGTAATGCGTGAAGTATTCGTGCAGTCTTGTAGGCACTAACAAGCGTTTAATGCCGATTGCCTCGCCGAGGGCTTCTCCTTTCCGTCATCATTGCTTTCTGCGCTTCTCCGTCCAGGCAAAATTGCGTGTTCGGTCTCTCTTTTAACTCGACTAATTAAAGGTGCTGTCTCTTGTATCACCGAAAGACGACGAACTTAGAAATTACGATACTTTCAGGAAATGAGAGATTTTATCGCCTTTTCTGGTTTGTAATTTTTTTTCTGAATCTACTTTTTTTATATACGTAAATTTAAAAAAAATTGCAAAATTTGCCGCCTCCTAAATTTGCAGCCATGGGCCACGGCCCATGTGACCACTCCCTTAATCCGGCCCTGGCAACCACCCGCCTCTACCAATAGGATCGCTCAATCCTCCTTTGTCCATCACTTTGTCAATCAATTTCAATAACCGGCCAGCTGTTGAGGCACCACAGAGGGTGCAGATGAGTCCCCACCCGTCAACGAAAACGAATTTGCCTCGTGGCATTATCATTCACCCGTGACCTCAGACCAGGGCCCAACATCATCCGTAGAGAGGTGATGAAAATGCAAAATGTGTCGATTCGAAATTCAAAGCCGGTGAGGGCCGGCGTGTGGGAGGAGGTGCAATTTTCAAGCGAGATCGAATCAAAAGTGATGACGAAAATGAAAACGGGGAAAATTCATGAGGACTCGCTGATGACACCCGTCGTCCATGTCATCGCGGCGCCGCGATACCGTCACGGAGATTTGTTTGAACATCCTTCCTTCGCCTGCAAACTGTGCATACAGCCGTCCTGAGCGAGAAAAATTCATAATTGCTTTGAGCGTGGAGCTATAGGGAAGGAGATTAAAGCCGTTGTTACAAAAAATGAGTTGGTTCATCATATCACTATACTGCCGTCCCAAGGAAGAACGCCGTATGCGCCTTCAGACGTTGCCAAATTTCCTCCGATAAAAACAGAATTTACCGAGAAAATTGTTAATATTTTTCCTCATAATTTTCAGACAGTTGTGTACGCACTTTAATCTAAAATATCTGAAAATGTTTAAAAAAATGTGCACGTATACCGTCAACAATACACGTTTCATCAAGGGAAATTTGGCAACTCTCGAATGTTCATACAGCGTTCTTCCTTAGCATGGCAGTAGACGTTTCCGACCTATACCGCCGTGCCAAGGAAAAAAGCCGTATGAACCTTCAGGCGTTGCCAAATTTCAGTTGATATAACACGACTTCCCCCGTGGAATTATGAATATTTGTCTTCCAATTTTTCAGATAATTTTGTTCTTAATTTTCCCCGAAGTTCCTGAAAATCTCAGGGAAAAATATTCATAAATTTCTTCACGGATAAACATTTTAGTGAAGGAAGTTTGGCAACTCTTGAATGTTCATTCGGCGTTTTTCTTTAGCACGGTAGTGTAGCGCTATTCTCCACCAAGTTATATGGTTAATAGTAAATTGCGGAATGGAAAAAAGTAAGAAGGAGCGAAAATTTTGAAGCCTCGGCATGAAAATTCGTGGTTCTGCTCTTTAGGCATCGATATTACAAGTCATAAGCTCTTTTGATTTAATTCATTGGCCCATGGCTATTTTCATTATAAATGCGTTTAGTTGGACCATACTTTGCGATAAAAATTTTTGTCTCATTTTTGAAGTAACATAATAGTCATTTATCATTCTAAGCGAATTGATTATATTATAGATGAGCTAGAAATTTTGGCTTCTTGTTGCAAAATAAAATTCAAATCATTGTCAATACCACAACAACAGGATCAGGTCAAATGTACGTAAGGTAAAAAAGCGCGTAGGTCAAATTGTATTGTATGCCAAACAACGAAGGTAAGAAATAACGTAGGTTAAATGTCGTAGGTCAAGTGTCACGTAGTATAGGCCAAAAATCTTTAGGTCAACTGACCCGGGACCAATTTGACTACACTTTTGTAAGCATAAAAATCTCACAATGACTGTACTTTTGAGTAATTTCTGGGGTTTCGCACGCAGTTATTTTAACTGATAAAGCGACCATAATGACGAAATATACCTACAGTTAGCAAAGCAAATTCAACGACATGCTGTTGGTGTTTCCTTAAACTGTTACGACATGGCTTTCGATTTTCAGCGAGTAATTTTTCCGGAATTAGTAACCAAATGATCATTCAACGACCGCACTAATACTCTCTCGATTTCAATGCTGATTGTGTGACAATTTAGCGATTTCAAATTCTATTTCTTAGAAGCACCAACTGAGCTGTGCATGGACCATGGACTCCGACGAACTCTCCACGTGACAGGTCAAAAAATTCAATCTCAGCCGCTCTGTTGTTCAGTTTTCGCATCGGTAATGCGACCTATTCCGTAATATCGCGCTTTATGTAAATACTTCAGCGAAATTATTGTCGTCCACGTGAAGCGTTGACGTATCCGACGAGAAAATGCTTGAATATAATTTATCTCGGAACAGCTATGCGGTTAATTTCGGGTGGAGACGCTTTAACCCGATATGGCAACACCGTATGTTTTGTTGAAGTTTACTCCGAATGCATGTAAACAGTGTCTGACTTTCACACTTTGAAAGAGGCTGCATTAATTTTGCAGGATATGAACGGGACTTTTCCGACCTCAAATACAGTTAGATCGAAACTTCTACCGACGGATATTATCCTCGGGTGGAGTTGGGATTTGCGCATCCTTTATGGATTCTTGTATCTCATTGACTCTTTACCGATGGGGAATGATCTCCAACTTTTGTGAGGGCGAAAAACAAGTCATTCGGATGGGATGGACGGAAAAACAAAGAGGGTTTAGACCTCTGATTCCGAAAACAGTCGATGAGTGGGAAAAATGTTTTGAGTAAAATTAAGGTAATTCGATGGATGCCATATTTTGTGTCAGAACGACATGCGATATATCGTATCGATTGGTCCCATTTCTTCAGCTAATCGTCATTTTCCTCATATTTTGCGATTGCAATTCTGTTGCCAGGAGGCTGAAGAATTCACATATCAATGTTGACAACCAAATTCAACGTATTAAAGGCGTCGTTTTTTTTTTTTTTTTTTTTTTTTTTTTTTTTTAGAGGAAAAATATCGCATTCGGGTGCAGTTCCGATATCAGTGTCGAATGCGATATTTTTCCTCTAAAAAAACCACGTCCTTAATTGATAGGTACGTTGAATTTGTTTGTGAAAATTGGTAAGTGAATTCTTCAGTCTCCGGCAACAAAATTGCGACCTCAAAATTCGAGAAAAATGAGGAGTAGCTTAAAAAATGCAACCAATCGATGTGATATATTGCATGGCGTTCTGACACAAAATATGGCGTCCATCGAATCACCTTAATGTAAGACAGTTTATTCAGATCCTTATGTCTAGGTTGAGCCCATGGAAAGAATTCATGGAAAATTCGAGTAAATGTATGGCTAAATTTGAGAACTTTCAAATTTGTTTCCATTATATCAGATATCGCAAAAAATACACATGCCGTGTTCAATTACGCTTGAATATTTATTCTACAATTTTTATTTGTTTTATTTTTTAGGCAGTGCCCTCTTATTTCTCACTCTTCTGAAGGTTTCCTGGCGTCCAAGTCTGCCGTCACTTGATACACACATTGCACTTCCAGAGCTAAACAATTTGACCGAAGGCCCAGGCGAAATCTGGGAAAAGATAGGCTTCAAGGATCTTCTTTTCCACATTATTTTAAGCGAAACAGTTGCTTTTTCGTTTTATCTCATCTTCGGTGGCTTCCTACACGTAAGTACATTTGATCCTTTAGATCCTTTGATGTATCTTAGAATTTCTCGAAAACTATAACTTAATTTTTGAAGAAAAAATACATTATCTACCAGATTGTCTTAATCTTTACCCTAGGTGCTCCAGTAATTTTTCCATCACGTATTTGAGTTGAAAATAAACGTTCTCCGCTAAATTCCAAAATTCAACCCTCTTACCTGCCTAAATTAACATAATATAAATCAAAATGTAATTAATAAATTATTTTCAATTTGGTAACAATAATGAGAACTGTGAATAAATTGAGCTCTCTCAAGCTTGAATAATGATATTGAACATGATAGGTACCTGCCCCTTCAAGGAAGCCTGTTCATTTAAACGGCAGGATACGATACCACTATTTCAACACTCGGGAGTCCGTTTTGCCTATCTCGTCAAATGAAGGAGTTTCCTCTTTGTGTGCGTTGTGGGCATCCTTGCTTAGCTTTATAGCAATAAATATTGTAAGTCATGATGCGGAAATGTAAAAACAGCATGCTCGCGTATTTGTAATTACTTAATAGATCTGTAGATTTAATTTTAATCGAACAGGAAAATTATAAATCCAAAAAATTATATTATTTGATGGTCTCTGTAATAGTGGTCATCGGTGTTCTTATGTAGGTAATGCACAAAAAGGAATGAACAGAGAATAAAAACCGTCTTTGAACATGTAACATTTTTTATTGTGACAGACTTTTTCCTGTCTTAACAGTATCACTATTACGTAAAGCAGAGAGAGAAAGCCGAAGAATGGAAATGCCAGCCGAAAAAGTTCCTTCCAACGAATTTAGAAATAGATGAGCTGAGAGTTGGATGCAAAGCTCTATTCTACTGCAATATAGTCTCTGGTCTCATTTCATGCTACATCTACAATGGAGGTTCTCTGTGCAGCATCTACTATGATCTGGGTGACTACCCGTTTTGGTGGACGGTCCTTCAATATGCTGTCACCTTTCTCTATCAGGTAACTTGCCCGTAACATTGAAATCAATGAACAGTCATAGTTTATCTCCTATGATGCCCTTGCCTTTAATGAATAATGACAGACTAAGGAAGAACGCCGTATGAACATTCGAGAGTTGCCAAATTTCCTTCAATAAAATGTTCATTTTTGAAGAAAGTTATGAATATTTTCCTTCGAATTTTTCAGGGACTTGGGGTGAAATTGCGATCAAAATACTGAAAAATTGGAAAGAAAATATTCATGAGATTGCCAGGAAATTCGTGTTTTATCAAAGAAAATTTGGCAACGCCTGAAGGTTCATATGACGTTTTTCCTTAGCACGGCAGCATACTAAAAAGGGGCGATACCCAACCAAACTGTTGAGTGTTGGTCTTGATCAAGAGCAAATTAATATAAACTATCGAGTAAATTTAAGCGATAATTTAATTAAAAAATTAGAAAACAAATGGCTAGGAATGAATTGAAGGAGAATTTTACCATTTACCTAAGCACTTGAAAAAGTGCTAGATCATCACAAATCCTCCTCCAAATTAAAATTCGAAGTTTCTTGCTAAATTTTTGATTGAACAAGATAAAATATTTATGTAACACAGTGATGCTCTTATGATTGTTTAATAATAAGTTTAAGTCTAAAGAACACCTCTCTTCATCTTAGAATCGATCAGTTCTTTTGAACTGATCAATTCCAAATTCAAAGTGATTTAATTATATAAAAATATAATTAAATCTTTATGAGAACCTTCAAAGTAGCCTTGTTCCTTCTCCGGAAAATAAAGTAGGAACGAAAATTTTGAAACTTGAAACAATGGATATACGTGGTTTTTCACTTTGGTCATCAAAGTGGCGTTTTCTCATTTTCGTAATTTACGTATAGGTTATTATTATTATTATTACTCTATATAAAGCTGCTGTTCCCACTCACTATGCCCCCCCTAGATAAAAATTGGCCGAAGCGATTTCCTTTAAAATTGGTACACGCTTAGCTATTGTAATGAGGAGTTGATTAAAATTATTCCCACTCAAATCCGCTGCTTAGGACACCCGCAAGAGCGAAAAGTTGTTTCTCCATATAGTATTACATTGGAGATACGCGGTTGCTTACGCGCATCGCGCCGAACAGGTTCAATCCTGTTGCGTGACGTCACTGCCTTAAAGGTTTTAGGCGGTATTTTTCAACGGATTTTTGTGGAAATTTGTTACCAGCGGTATTTTTCAACGGCGATCTCGAATTTTTGGTCGGATTTTCAAAATCTCAAAATCCAAGATGGCGGCCGTGGCCTAAAATGCTAAGTCGGCTCCTGCTCGATCGATTTTCGTGAAATTCGGTATCCGGAGGTATATTTCGACGGGAAACTAGAATGTTTGGTCAGATTTTCAAAATTCAAAAATTCAAGATGGCGGCCGTGGTCTAAAATGCTACATCGCTTCCTGATATCGATCGATTTTTGTGAAACTCGGTATTAGGAGGTGTATTTCGACGGGAAATTAGAATTTTAGGTCCGATTTTCAAAATCCAAAAATCAAAAATGGCGATCGTGGTCTAAGTTGTTATCTCGGCCTCCGATCCATCGATTTTTGTAGGAGGTGTATTTCGACGGAAAACTCGCATTTTTGGTCAGATTTTCAACATTTCCAAATCCAAGATGGCGGCCCCGCACGAAAACGCGGTCCGGATTCCTAGAACATCAATTTCTGTAAAACTTGGTGAAAAAGAAGATTAAGACATAGATGTTGTCTCTTCATCAATGTTAAAAACTGTGCGGGGCGGTGGCGCGGCGGCTCGCGGAGCGAGTCGCAAGTTCGTCGCGAAGCGTAGAACTGGGGTCCAGGGGCACTCCCCGGCTAGACGTGTCAGCTCGCAAAGCGAGCTAATCACGACTAGTTTTGAAATATTCTCCAACTGCATGTTCATTCAATTTTCGTGATGTAGATATTTATCACATATTATTTCACAATACAGGACTACGTCACGTACTGGCTCCACCGCTTTTACCATACGCCTTTCTTCTATAAAAACTTCCACAAAATACATCACCGGTACAAACAGCCTACGGCCTTCTCGGTCACTGCGATGCATCCTGTAGAGCTGATACACATTCAACTGTTTCTTGCCGTGCCAGCTTTTTCAATTCCTGTTCATTATTGTGAGTGTACTTATGGCTGAATTTATGAGCCTGTTCTATCTCTTGTAATTTTTAAGCTTCAAGAAGAAAAACTTACTTTTGGGCATACCCTCGTATTCTGCTTGGTTTGTTAAGTTCATTGCAAGAAAGACAGTTTTTTTTAAAAAAATAATGAAAAAAATATTCCCCAGTGAACAAAATCACTGTTCATAATTGGACTGCATTTTCCACTTTGGACCTATAAATTCTGGCTCGTCTGAAAAAAACACATATGTCCATAGGGAAACTAATGGAACATACGTTGTTTTTAAACTAGGCCAGAATTAATAGTTCCAAATTGCAAAATGTAGTCCAATTGTGGGAGACCTTCATGAAAAGAAATCTTAGATCATACATGCACAGAATCTTGCCACTTGGTGCAGTATTTTACACAAAATTAAACTGATTTCAAATGAAAGCTTTCAACGTTGGAAAATTCTCCAGTTATTTTATGAAATTTTATCACGACCAGTTTCCCCATGGTGCCTTGAATGGCTTTTTTGAATGGGTGTTTTAACTTCAAATATGTTATGCTTCACTAGCTATGACGTTTTCCAGACGAGGGAACGTACCTCCATTCCATGGTTGCAAAATCTGCCTAAAGGATTCTTTATTTCATACAAATAACCATGATTTTTGATGAAATTGAATGAATTGTATGAAAACTCGAGGAAAAATTTGTGCAATTTTCAACAAAAAATGTCCAGCCGTTTCCGAGTAAAAATAAAAATTGTTTGATGAAATTTGACAACACTGGGATGGAGTTACGTTCATCCGCACACTGAAAAAACGTCTCTTGGATAGAGAATCTAGATTCTTAAAAAAACTCTATAAAAAACAAACTTATTCAATCGGATTTTTGCTTCAATCAATAGGAAATCCTGAATTAATATAAGAGGTTTGGCTCTCGATTCAAGCAAAAATCCGACCGAAAAAAAATTATTTTTTCTGGTCAAATTTTTTAAGAGTCTGGACTCCGGATCTAAGAGATTTTTTGTGCAGGTAACGACTGATTGTGTAAGGGTAGTGCAGAATGAAATAATCGACGTGTAATTTTCTGTTTTTTTTCTATCCTGCGTTTAATTCTCCGATATTTGATTATAAACTAGGATTTGTTGTTTTTGTTTGAAGCATGTTTCTTATTCCTCACTGCATACACGTACTACCACGGTGTGGTCCAGCACTCCGGTGTGGCGTTCAAATCTCACTGGTGGCAGCCGTGGCAGCCTGACTGTATGTTCCATGACAACCATCACCAGTACTTCCACGTCAACTTTGGATTCAACTGCTGGTTTTGGGATGTTGTGAGTATTGATTTCTTGGACATTTAACTATGTTCCGTTAAAGCTCAAGCGCAACAATAGCTGAACTAGCAGGCAAAGCATGAAAAAAATCATTAAGCCGTACCTATGTGCTGTCGTCCAGAACACGAATACAGGGTAATCCAGTGTTAAACGGTCGGGCTACAGGAGCGTGTTTCACGGATCAAATTTCAAAGGAGACTTATTTGTTGTATAAAGTTTTTTTTTTTTTTTCCAAAAGTGCCCTCAGTCGGAACTATGGCCTCCCAATATTGCGGAGGGTAAATCGTTTTTCTTGAATTTTGGCAACGGTTTTGAACCAAATTTCATAACAATTTTTGTACTATCCTGTACTTTTATGCCCTGAATTTATAGGTGATCTAAAAAAAAATCAAAATCTTAATTTGAAGAGGGGATTTGGATGTATTTCGGCTCCTGCAATCTGGCCGTTTATCCCTAGATCACCCTGTATACTGTCGTCCAGAGCACCTATACAGAGAGAGTACGGACTTGTCGAAATATGGAGCTCTCGGGGTCCGAAAGGGTTGCCAACCTTCTGACACAAAAAAGTCACTTCTAATCTTGAGATTTCAAGCCAAGATGACTAAGGATGTTTATTAATGTTCCGCAAACATGAGTAAAAATATGCGAAAACTAAGTCAATTACGTGCTTTACAAATGACGAGTCGTGACTTTGTGTTAATGAATCACTAATGATAATTTGAATTCATAGAGTGGCTGATGCCCTTTTCGGCCCTTAAAGCTCCATGACCTAACCTAAAAGTTACTGACATGTCCGTGATCTCCCTTTATAGGTACTCTACGCAATACTTTAAATCATAACTTGCGCACAAATTTACTGCAGAGCTTCAGAGTTTACATGAATCCCTATTCGACATATCGACGGTGAAAGTCGGCAATCACATAACTCGTTTGCGGTGTCTGAAAATCTCCGCCTCTACGTCATTTTTTGAAAGGAGAGCAAATTGACATTATTTCTTGAAGTTTTTGCAGAATTTTCTTCGCATTGAGAAGAAAAATCATGACAGTTTTGAAGAATTGCCGTTGAGTAGTTTTCCATTGAAAAAATAAAGTATGACAGGAAGTCTGCGACGTCGCAAACCGAGGTGTGTGATTGCCGACTTGCACCGTCGATATGCTGATGGGACCGCCTTTAGCAAAAAGGGAACAAGCCACATCTACTATTGCCAAATTTAACTGGCCAATTTATTTTTTTACAAGAGAACTCTTGTGCGGATCTCTTTGTAAATTTTACGGAATTTGCTTCAAACCATGCAAAAAATTCTCTGAAATTTGCAAAAAAATCCGCACAACCGTTTTCGTATTTGCTTAATTTAATTACATTTGGCAATAGCTGATGTGGCTTGGTTCCTTTCTGCGCAATAGTCCTACATTTGTGCACATACGTTTTTTTAATAAAAACCGCAATACAGTATGACCGGAATAGCGTACCGTTATCCAATCACCTCAAACCCCATCTTTGGTTAAATTCGACCCGGGCTCTTCTATTAAACAGATAGACTATTTCTGAAACGACCCAATGTTGATACAACTAATATATTCTATAAATATATTGAAATTTTATATATTAAAATTGATTCTATTCTACTTTTTGTAGCTCCATGGAACATTCCGGAAGAAGGATAGAATCTACACCGAAGATATCTACGGAGGGAAAGGGAAGCCCTTAGCCGCTGCAAATTCAAGCGAGATAGCCAATGAGATTGAAGAGAGACAGTGTGAAAACCCATTGGCGTATAGGAGCAACAAACCGGACTACATACTATTAGATGAAGATATAAAAGACGTGTCTACTGAGGCAACAGTATCAAAAAGGCACAGTACAAAGTTAGAGGTACAAAATGACTGATTAGACGTATGTATTTTAGGAAAACTCCGTGATTAGACAATAAAGTATTTATTTATTATGAACCTTTATTAATTTTATTACTCAGAGCCAGTCTTTAAATTGACTACATTTTGCAATTTGGAATTACAATTTCTGGCTCAGTTTAGAAAAAAACGTATGCACCGTTAGTCTCTCTGTGCAATTAAGTTTTTTTACAGATGAGCCAGAAATGATAGTTCCGAATTGCAAAAGAAGTCCAAATGAGCTTAAGGGGTCTAAATCTGTGACTGCTCACGGGAAAAACGACCTAAACTCACGAGGGAAATATTTTCTGCAGAGCAATTTTCGTCAATTAGGTTTAAGAAATAAGTTTGTGAAATATCGATGGAAAATTATTTCTCTGTTAGCCCGAAAAATGAGTTACGAGTCATGCAGCTCCTTTTTTGTCATCGAAGGGAGCAAAATTGCATTTTGTTGTGGCAATTTTGTACTCTGGACACGGCAGCAGATGATAATTTGAGAAAGTTTTTTTTTCTCGAAATTACGTTTCTTGAACTGCAAACATCAAACCAACCACTGTGATTTCGGTTTCATTTGACCTTTTTGGTTTTTTTTTTTGCTATAATGTACACATCTTTGCTCTGGTATTGACACATGACCCAATTTTTAAAGCTTCATAAAGGTCGCTCCATTCGTAAATGGTCATTCAAGATATCACAATTAATTGTTTGTTTACTGTGGATTTTTATTACAACGATTACTCACATAGTTTATCCTTGTCATTTGAGCTCGTGGATTGGAATTAGAAATTTGAAACCGGCGTGACACCTGACTTTTTACTAGTAGAGGAACGCCTCAGGGAAACCCGAAAATTTAAGACGAGTTACTCCCTCCGGGCAGCTGTATTAGTGAACGTTGAATTTCAAAAGTTTCAAAACATCGACCAAAAATATCTCAGTTTTTCATGGCATTTTCGTGTGCTATTCAACAGGCGGAATGGATCTTCAACAATGCTTTATTTATTTTGCAAACTCTTGCAAACCTGCAAAAAATCACGTGGAATCACCCATGTGACATTGTGACTCATCATTTTGAATGCCTGAGAAATTGTGGCATTTTGAATTGATTCTTGAACGATGAGTGAACAGTTAGTGCCTATCATAGCTGACGTGATGCCGCCATATTTGTGCATATTGTTTTATTTTGTCTTAAAGGCGTTTGAAAGTACTTACGTGACACTTTCTGATGCACTTGGCACCGTTTGGAAATGTATGGGCAACAATTCATTTTAACTGAGGAAGTAAAATGATAATCAATAAATAATGCTTAGGCCGCCTTGTAATGAAAAAATTGGTCTATATTTGCTTCACTATGAAATCATAATTATCAAGAAAATAAATCAATCAGTAGGTGTCTTCTACAGTTATAAAATAAATAATTGTACAATCTGATTAGATTTGGCAGATTTGATTATTAATTTTGATCATAATTAACTTCGGTTTCATCTGAAAAAAATGCCTCCTTTTGGACTAAATCATGAGAGTTTAGCTTCGTCTCAAACGAAACCTCACTCAGCGAGTTACCAAACTACATGACACACTTAGTAAAACTTAAAACAACAATACTCATTTTAACAATGATTTAAAACCAGTAAACAATTTCTAACAAAAATATTCAACAAACATTACTTACACTTTAGAAAAGAAAAACAATACATTTCTTAGCAGACCTCAAACATATGGGACTCTTTTTTTTGTCGCTGACTCTGTATTAAACATAGGCTGTAAGTTATGCAAACTTAATAACAATAGCAAAGCATACTTGTACTTGAAACATTCCTTTTCACTGACCTAACTTCATAACAAAAACCTATCTGTGAGAATACACGTTACTACTTCTTTTATATTTTTTGAGTCATACTTTGTTGCATGAGATTTACTTGTGACTGCAATAAAGTCACACGCAAAAGCTCTTATCATAACATGTGAATCATCACGCGTCAAATGTTTAAAAAAAATCCAACAAAAAATACCCAATATTAACAATTATAAAGCAATCAAATGTTTAAACATATAATTACATGATTGTGTATTTACACTTAACATATTTATATGACTTACTGCTACTTTGCACACGAAAGAAAAAGAGGAAAAATCGTGTTTTTTTGTATTGCGTCGGCACACAATTTAAGTAACAATTCTGACTATACATTTTCTCTTTTAACTCTGCAAATATCTTATGCATTGTAGTGATAATGATCGAGCCATACAGAAAGAATACAGTCCCCAAATTGAGCGTACAAAAAAGAGAAAAATGAAATCTTATCTCTCTTTTGAAGTTGTTTATTTAATCTATTTGTTCCATCAACATATTTACTATAATACTAATACGTTATTTATTTACAAACTTGTCATTTTTGGTTAATTTTATTTGAGTATTGTTTTGTTTCCTCTTGGTAAAAAAAAAAGAAAATAGCTAATATCCTTCAAGGAGTTTTCTTTGTTACTGTATCCCTCTGAGAAGATATTGCTTCTCATTGTTTATGTATTTCAGAACGCAGCTTTATCTTTAATTTTTGAGGTAATTTTCAGAGAACATATTTATTCAACCAAAATTTCGTTCGGGGACATTTAAAGAGAAAGCTATGTTTACTTATCTAGTAACTTTAGGATAAATTTCAGTGTTCCCTATGAGTACATGTAATAAGGAACAATTTGCCAAAAAGATGTGGATTCAGTTGAAATCCCTAGAGTTTTATCCCGATGAATGTTCCCGTTTTAGAATGATCAAAGAATTATTTTCACATTAATGGATGCCTTGTACTTGAAAACTCATGAAGGTAAACAGTAGTTCCCCTTTCTTATTTTTTAATCCAATTAAAGTTCTTGACGGAGAAATATAGAAAAATTGCAGAACAGATAGTGAGGAGTTATTTGATTAAAATACTTGAGCAAATTTGAAAACTACCTAATGAAAAGAAAAAGCTGTACAATATTGAAACCTTGTCAACCCCGTCGATTGACTTTAAGTTTGTTCCTTGTACTTATTGTACGATCATTCCAAGCAGACTCTTTGCTGCAAATGTACATCTAGTTTTTCTTAAACAAATTTCGTTGAATATGCATATTTTACAACAAACCAGCAGCAATTATAATGATGCATAAATAACATTCAATCTTGAATTCCAAAAGGTATAAGATTTTAGGGTGAAAAATAAATGATCATAAAGACACCCTTACTTGAGTCTCAGTAAAAATGCATAAGTACCATGAAAAAATATTGGAGGCCCATGAGAACATTCTTCTTGCCAAGAAACGCTTTAGAAATTTTGCCGTGTAATCTTATCTTCTTCATCTTGTTAGGCAGTGACTTTAGCTTCGATATGAATATTGATGAATAGAACCAAAAATTGTAATTTTTCCATAAAAATTACAATTTTTCATGCAAAATTATCATGAAGTAGGCAATACGTAGGAAAATAGGCGTTGTTCAAATATTTCATTAATTCTTGCTCAAAATCTACTGATACACAAGAATCTGATAGTTATTTCGATCAAAAAATTTTCCGAAAACAAAGATTATCGCCTAATGGACGTGGGTCATCCAATAAATACCGATCGTCTACCGGAGTTTTCACGGCTCTAAAAATGTTGTCAAATTCTGCCTCCAAGAAACAAGGTATAGGCGTAAAACATTTTTTTCGGCTCAAAATGCGCAGTAAAATGTAGGTAAGTACGAAGATTAGTGGAGCGTTATTTTTGTTTAAGTTTCCTCTGCCACTAATTGAAATCGTACAAAATGACCTGACACAACTCATACATGTCAATAATGTGAAAGTAAAAAGTCTCAGCTTATAAATACAGCAAATGTACAAAACAAATATTACAACGTATAAAAATTTGAAAGCTTCAGGGCCTCGGGATTGTGCTGAGAGAGCGTCTATCAACCCGTCGCCGTGCACTGTTGACCATCTGAAAATAAAGATTATGACTTGTTCATCGTTTATAAATCAATAATAAGAAAAAAAACACTCAAAAAAGGTTGAAATTTACGAATTCAGCTTTGGTACTGAGAAAATACCACCTATGGGCCTCCAGACGAGGTACCTATGAATCAAAACGCAACGCTACGTGTATTCTCCATCAAATTTCACATGCTGTTTACGGAATGCGTGAAGTATTCCTACAGTTTAGCAGGCGCTTCGAAGCACATAACGGGAAGTCTAAAAAGCAAATCCTGAACAGGATGTAAGTGTTTTCTACCAACATTGGTTAAATGACAAAATTACAGACTTCATTTGTATAATTGAACTTCCATTTGATCTTCATTTAAAAGACTTGTCAATAACTCGTTCAGGCGTTGATTTTAAAAATTCACGTTGTATAAATTGTTTTCTTTGTGAGAATTTGAAGGGAAATCATGTGAGAGTGTGAAAACGCGCCGATAGTAAACTTGGAGAACAAAGGCTAGAATGCTCGTGAGTATTATTGTTAAAACATGTGACGTGAACCACCTCTACCACTCTACCACTCCCACTCCACTCTACCCCCACTCTCCCCTCTCCACTCTACTTGAAACCTTGTCTTGTGTCAATTATCTGCTAAGTGAATTTTTGTAGGAGAAAAGGAGAGGGAAATAGGATAATCAAGAAAAATAGAGAAGAAAGAATAGAGAGCGAAAAGGGATAGAAGGGCGCCAAAAAGTCATGATTAGGGCACCGATCATGTAAATCGGAACTACAATTTATTGGAATTCTAAGGGAATATTTTCATGAAATTTTTCTGAGACTTTAAAATTTTCTGTACTTAGTTAGTGCAGGCGTTTTAATTGTAACTTGCTAGAAATTGAAAAGAGGAGAGACGCACCTATTTCGGTGGCGGGCAGGGATTGAAGGGTTGAGACATGGCCACCTCTGCGAATCGCTTGTCGATGGGTATCCGGTCGTCGTATAGCGTTGGCGCCTGGAGGATAATCCCTGCCGTCCCTGCGATCACAGCCAGCGTGAATATCCAGAGGAACAGCCGATCCAGCACCATCGCCACGTACTTCCAATCCTCTTTTACCTGAAAAATCATTTCGGTATTAGGTCTTGTGATTCATTAAAATAAATTAATCGTCAAGGTGATTCGATGGACGCCATATTATGTGTCAGAACGGCATGCGATACATCGCATTAATTGGTTCCATTTTTTCAGCTACTCGTCATTTTTCTCCAATTTTGAGATCGCAATTCTGTTGTCAGGAGACTAAAGCACTCACTCACCAATTTTAACAAAGAAATTCAACGTAATAAAGGCGTGGGTTTTTCAGAGAGAAAACATACTGATATCGAAACTGCACTCGAATGCGATATTTTCTCTAAAAAAAAAAAAACCACGCCTTTATTACGTTGAATTTCTTTGTTAAAATTGGTAAATGAGTGTTTTAGTCTCCTGACAACAGAATTGCAATCTCAAAATTGGAGAAAAATGACGAGTAGCTGAAAAAATGGAACCAATTGATGCGATATATCGCATGCCTTTCTGACACAAAATACAGCGTTCATCGAATCACCTTAAGGGAAAGACACAGAGGCTCCCAGCAGTTCGATTTCAATTTTTTTCAAATTTTTAAATGCGAGATTGGAAACCCTGCTAAAAATATACTTGGTACCGCGAAAAAGCAAGAGAATATTCCATAGAAGTAGTCCCAACCCAATAGTAGCTTACCATTGAAGCTCTCTAATTTTTTCCATGGCATTTTGTATTTAAAGAGAATGGGCACCTTGATGGACTCCCCGATATTTTAGCCCATTTCAGGTACCTACTTTAGCGAGAGGTCTAAATGAACCACTGGAAACTACTACTTTTACTCACTCACAAAAGCACCTATCTACAAATAGAAACCAATGATACATACGCTGTTTATGAAATGTTAAGATAGCGTGGGATATTCCCTCCATTTTGGCCTCAAGTTGAGAGCTTTTTTAAAGCTTGAGAGTCGATTTCCGAGAAAACCAGTGGCACCATCGCGTTTCTCGCGAACTTTTACATGAGAATGAACAGTCAAATCGCAAATTCCTCACACATGCAACATCTCCATTCCGAGACTCCTCTGAGACGCCGGGTCACTTTTTCGATACATAATCGAATGTCTCCAATACATGAGGACCCAGCCATCCGATGTAAACCAAGGAGACAGGAATTACTACGTAAAAACTACAAAAAACCCCAAAAAACTTTCAGATTCTAAGGGGTAAAGAATCCGGCCAAAGTCTTAAACTTGTTGAACCAAATTTTCTTATTACTCGTAAAAGAAAATTAAAAATTATACTTTACTGAAAATCGAATGTGGGCCCCTTCATAAACGAGTGATACAACATTCACTGCATGTGTGTATGTGAACCTCTTGTAGTTTTGTAGGAGCCCAAGCGGTTCGCTCGCTCTTTGCAACAAACACTACATTCGTGAATGGAAAGTCCTTGAAGGAGCACATAACGTCCTTTTTCTTTCTTTAACTTTTGCATTTTTTATTCAGAATCTTCGTAAAATCAAAAAGAAAAGTATGGACTGATCTGAGCCTTATATGTGCTCTAAAACAATATGAAATATTTTATCGCACAAAGTCGAACTGTAGATCGAATGTAGCCCCTTCATTTATGAGTGATGCAACAGTCATGACGTGTAAGTATGTGTAGCCCTTGCAGGAGCCCCCTTCCTCACCTATTTGCATTTTTATCTAAAGTACAAAAAACCAAGAAGACAGGAATTACTACGTATTCCACACCACCATTTTTGATCGAACATGTATCGAAAAAGTGACCGAGGCTTGGCGCACTTTTGGCTCGGAACTAGTCGACCAGAACATGGCGCCAGCTCTCCCATTTACATTACGACTCTATGTACTCTATACTCTATCACAGGACTTCGCAGACGAGTGATTGAAAATGGGTGTACCTTAGTGGACTCCTCGATCATGCGGGTGTGCTCGGCGATGAATCGCATGCAGAAGCAGGACCTGTGGACGATCGGCGGGCACTTGGAATGCGAGAAGGCCGGATTCCGAAGCACCGGGCTCTTCCCATCGTCCGGCGTCGGGGTCAGCGAGAGCTCCTCCGACATCAGGCTACTCGTGATTGGTCCGTGGATCTGACAACTCCCGCTCAGAGGCCCGTCCATCAAACTGCAACATCGGATGAAGCGACGAAATTCAATTTTTTTTATCGCAGAAGTCAGAAAGAGCATGAGAGATTAGAGGTTAGCTATTTGGATGACGTTACAATTTTACTAGTAACTCGTGTAAGCGTGCAGTATACATTGTAATTAAAGACGAGAAACCCGTAGCGCCTTCAAATTGATGCGTATGCACTACGGACATCCACTAAGCACGAATAATTGGACGTATTTCTATCAAACGGAACTAAGCACCAATTTGAGTTCTTTTTGAGGAATTTAGAATCCCGGACAGCGCGTTCTGTCAAACGGACCTGAGCTCAATGGAAAAGCATTGCGAGTATAGGACGGAATAAGCCGGACGCCCGATTCCGCCGCCAATCCAAGCCCCCCTCTACCTTCCTCACCCTATGGCGCTTAGGTCCGTTTGATAGAAATACATCCAATTGTATTGAGAGTGGTTTCGCGATAACCGGAATAGTTTTGGCACCGTAACAGACAACACATTTTTCGGTCATATTTTTAGTAGTAATGATAATCACTCGAATTTCTTTGTACTAATCTACAGGGTTGCGTGTTATAACGCTTTTCAAAGATTTATCGCTCTACTTTTCAATTTTAATATAGAAATGGCAAAAAGTGTGCTGTCAGTTACGCTGACTTTTTACCGTAACATACATACAACACATTTTCGGCCATTTATAAATTAAAATTGAAAAGTTGAGCGATAAAGCATTAGAAAGCGTTATAATACGTAACCCATTGAAGATTAATGCGAAAAAATTCGAGTGATTATCATTTCCACTAAAAATATGACTGAAAAATGTGTTGTCTATCATGGCGACAAAACTATTCCAATGATCGTGAAACCACCCATGACATTACAATTTTACAAGTAACTCGCATAAGCGCGCAGTACATTGCTAGTTAGGACGAGAAACCCGTAGCGCCTTCAAACTGATGCGTATGCACTACGGACATCCACTGTGCACGAATAGTTGTATTAAGACATTTCTAGAATCGTCACGTCACCTGCACAGCTCGCGATGATTTTAGGAGGCGACCGAGTATCGTAATGTCTCTGGCAGCAGGAAACATGACATAAAATGCGATATTTAAATACCTTTTTGACTAGTTTCCGACAAAAGTCATTCAAAAAATGTTTTTTTACTGTCATTACCAACATACCTCGACGGTAAACCTGCATACAGTAAAACCTGCACTTGAAAAAAAACACATTGGATCTAGAGTCCAGACTCTTAAAAACATCGACAAGAAAAATACTCTTGATTCAATAGGATTTAAGCTTAAATCAAGAACCAAGCCTCTAAATTTGAGCGGATTTCCTTTTGATTTAAGCTAAAATCTGATTGAATCAAGAGTCCTTTTTCTTGTCAATGTTTTCAAGAGTCTGGACTCAAGATCCAATGTGTTTTTTTTTTTCCAGTGTGTTCATGACGGAATCTCAGGGGATAGAGCAATTTTTCCGTTAGCATCAGGTTCCCGCTATTAGTAGGCTTATTTACATGCTTGTATGTATCGCGGGACCGGAAGGGTTTCCGTTAAGATAGGTTTTTCGCTCTGAGCAGGGTCCATTACAAACAGGTTTCACTGTATTTATGATCACGATACTGAATGCGCAAATTGTGGCTACTGTGTATTACTTTCATGATGGAACTTTTCCTGGCAACTCCTCGTAAAATTGAACTACTCATCCACAAAATCGCGTACACTCTATGAAGATCGCGTTGTTCTTACGTTTTTTCCAAAACAAACCGTCCAGTCGACGTCAAGGCGAAGTTTAAAGCGACGAGAACGGAACAAGGAATCTGAGCAGAGATCTGCAGTTGCGGTGAAAGGGCGCGTCTCTAGTTTTAAGGAAATGAAATTGAAGTTGCCAAATCGCGCGATACAATGCGTACTTTTCATCTCTTTGCGCAGGAAAAAATGTCGATTTTTTTAGAGCATCCGGCAAATATGAATGAAACGACAGCGCATTTCGCCTGCTGGAAATGTACAGCTGCCAAAAGAAGTTGTCACATCGTGGAGTTTTCCCAACATTCACTTCACGAGTAATTTCAAATTCAATGAATCCTGCGGAAATGTTGCAATCAGACGTATTCATTTCTCTCATAGCCACAAACATGAGCGCAAAGGGAATAATGAAAGCTTAGAGGTAATAATTGTGTCATTTTATCTGCATGATTCCCTAAATATCACTAAGTGAATTCTCAAAATTGGACATTGCTCAAATGCTTCGTTTATGAATTTTTTTTCAACATAATGATGCTGCACGTTGTATCGTCATCATAATCCTCAAAAAATGAGTTCTTTAATGGGTCAAAAAACCCTTAGAGACATACATTGCACGTCATAGATGGTTTTATCGTAATTCATGCCAGCTAAATCAAGATCTGCAATCGATGAACGCCATGGGGCGTTGTATCATCCGTATCATAGCAGACCAAAAAACTGCCTTCAATTGCCCTTGATACTTTGCAACACACAGGATTTGAAATATTTGTATCAAAGCATCGAACCCAACATCATGAATGAGACTCAATGGGACTGCATTTTGCAATTTGGACCTATAAATTCTGTCGCTCATGGAAAAACACTTATGTGCGTAGGGAAACTAATGGCACATACGTTGTTTTCAAACCGGGCTGGAATTTATAGTTCCAAATTGCAAAATGCAGTCCAATTTAGCGTCGCTTCACTGCCGCGCGTCATGGCATTGTGTCATTGCGTGTGGTACGTCAGGGCAATAAAACGCCTTCAATCGTGATTAATACTGTGCAACACACAGGAGTTGAAAAATTTGTATCACAGAATCAAACCCAACGGTAAGTGTAGGAAACAAGGTGGAGAAATGGTGCTGGGTCCACACTATTTCGCGGGGAAAACCAAGCCAAGAAATTCCAAAAAAATTCAATTATAGTCAAATTTTTTGACTCTAAATGAAAATTTTTTGGAATTTCTTGGCTTGGTTTTCCCCGAGAAATGGTGTGGACTCAGACACGTTTCAAATGTACATTTTACAATATAGTGGAAAGCCAATTCAACCGCGGGGGTGCTTAAATCAGCGTTTTCTCATTGTAAAATCTACATTCAAACATTTCGGACACTTTTTTAAATTGAAAAATTCTTGAATCAGCAAACTCATTTTTTTTCTGTGTGGCTAAAACTTATCAATTTTTTTTTTTATTTTTTATTTTTATTTTTTTGTACAACGCACCCTCTTTGTAGTGACGAACCAGGAAAGAAACTTCAAAATTAAAATAAAACTTAATTTAGAAGAACAGATTTAAGCCAAAAATTTCAATTTTCGATACCAGTTTGGTAACACTGCGATAGCTCTTGGCCGCGTTTAGCGACATCAATCTTGACGCGAGGTCGGGAACATGGGCAGAAGCTCGGCCAACTGTCGCACGGGTTGCAGCCGGGTAAGAATGAAGAAGCATTGCGCTAAATTTTCAAGGGTGCACCGTGAGTTGCCCCGAAATGCTTCCATCGAGTTGGACCTTGGCTCCCTACAAAACGGTAGCCAACCGACTTAAAAAGTTAGCGCTGCACGTTTCTCCATAAATCTTGTTCAATTGTATTCATTCATTTTGCCGGTAAACGAGGGGGGGGGGCTGAGAAATGACCCCCAAAAGGTGGTGATATGGTGCTGGGTCCACACCATTTCGGAGGAAAAACAAAGGCAGGAAATTCCAAAAATTTTAACTAGAGTAAAAACAATTTTTTTTACTCAAATCGAAATTTTTGGAATTTCTTGACTTATTGTTTTTCCCTCAAAATGGAGTGGACCCAGCACTATTTCACCACCTTGTTTTACCTGTATAATACTTCCTTAATTTTTTATTTTATTTCTTTTTAGTGTTAAGTTACGTTTTTTTACATAACTTGCCTTCCAAAGAAATGGCTGCCTGCTGAAATTGAGATCTGTCTACACTTATAGGGTCAATTGAGTTTAAGTGAGTTTTTGTCTTTGAGATAAGGGCCTAAGCCGACGGTTGAACTCTCAAATCGCGATTTGCAACATTGCAGACATACTATCATTCTAAATTCTTTAAATATAAAACAACTTAACTGCAAATCTTGAAACATTCGATGATTTTTCCTCTCTGTGTGAAAAATATTCTGTGAAAATTTCAGGCAATCATTTTGAGTCATTCATAAAGAAGAAAGAAAGAGTGGAGATCTGTAAGCACTCCAGTTAAGATACGTGGTTTGGAAGTTTCACCGTTGAGATGCACTGTCTCTATACAATTTTGAGATTTTCAAGATTACATTTCCAATTCAGACAAAGTTTGAAGACCCGCACAAGATAAATGACCCATCCTCAACGCGTCCGCAATATAATATTCTTACGTGCAAGTGAGTTTAAAATTGTATTGATTATGGACGCAATTGATTTCAATGTTTGATCTCATTCAGCGAGCATGGGCTCCCATACCTTAATTTTCATTCCAATGCGTTTTTACAGCAACAATAACAAAATGATAATCTGGAACGGTGCAAAGTTTATTTAACAGTGCATTCAGTTGCACTGCTAAAAAAAGTCCCGTTTCCTCAGCGAAATAATCGATATTCACAGGGTCGAATAAAATAAAATGCAGGAAAAGTAGGAACGCTCTCTCACCTGAGGTGTCAAGCACCTCGCGATGAATAACAATGAGGAAAGTCAACCCTTTTCCAAACCTCACTTCTCCCTCTGTACTGTAAGTCCCTTTTCTCATCGAGATCCAAATGTTTCTAGAATACTGATGGCTGACGGCAAGTCAGTGATCAACTCTCATAATGTCTGTTCGAGGTTAATCACATTGAAATAGTCGCTGCTTGCTGTTCTGGCGCAAGAGCGCATCTCGATATTCGCATCGAGCCTTGGTGTCCGCATAACTCAATGCTTTTCGGGATTCATGTGGAAATAGATGCACGCGGCAAAAGGGCGCGGCGCCCTTACGTCAGACGAAAAATGAAATGTAGAGGAAACTGCTTGGAATGGAGGGTATGGATTCGATCGACATGAATCGATCGTAAAATGAAAACGTGAATCGATCGACATGAATCAATCGACACCGATCCGATCGACAAATTATTAAAAAACCGGTGTCGATTCAATCGACATGAATTGATCGAAAAATGAAAACGTGAATCGATCAACGTGAATCGATCGACATACCCGTAAATGGATCGACATAAGCCGTGAATGGATCACAAACCCGTGAATCGATCGACAAACCCGTGAGTCGATGATCGACAAACCCGTGAATCGATCGAATTTTGTCGACGGAATCGGTGTCGATTGACTCACGTCGATCGATTCATGTTTTCATTTTTCGATCCATTATGTCGAACGAATCGACACGGGTATTTGTAAATTAACTGTCGATCGAATCTGTGTCGATTGATTCATGTCGATCGAATTGATACCGGTTTTTAAACAATTTGTCGATCGGATCGGTGTCGATCGATTCATGACTATCGATTCACGTTTCCATTTTGCGATCGATTCATGTCGATCGAATGAAGTGTCATGTCGACCCTACCTTTGAATCCTATACTTGGTTAGGAATGTTGCTCTAAATAATTTTTAAATGTATCAGACCTACAAATTGTTTTGACTGTGGTGTGGTGGTTGTAGTGAAAGTAGTAGTATCGTTAATTTTTCCATCAATAAAAGTGCTGTGGAGACAAGCAGACAACCGTTTGAATACTAGTGGTGAGGCGTGAATGATAGATTATCGATATGTATCCATTTGAGGCGATGGTAAAGAATCGATTATTAAGGTGTTTGTTGCGGACACCCTGTTAATAGATTCTTTTCCATAAGTTTAAATGGCAGATCAATCGATACATCGCGAAGCACGGCACGCCATTGTTAAATACTCTACAGCGTCGTCTTTGAAATGAGGTCATTTCTAATTATAATCACAAATTGACTTCATTTTTTTAATTGGCAACTATACTTTATGGCTCATCTGTAAAAACGCTTGTGTGCAGAGGGAGACTAATGGTACGTGCAATGTATCTAATTATCTGAGCCAGGAATTATAGCTCCTGATTATAAAATGTAGTTCAAATGTGAAGCAATTACTGCAACGAAGAACCGTAAATTGTCGTTATGATAGCGTTCAACACGCATGTGTGCCTTCAATTTTTTGGATATGCAACACAGACATCCATCGAGTTGCAATAGTTGTATCGAGGAATTGTTCGTTTTGTAGCTCCTGATTGTAAAATTTAGTTCAAATATGAAGCAATCACTGTTACGAAAGAATCGTAAATTGCCGTTATGATAGCGCTCTATAAGCATGTTTGCCTTCAATTTTTTGGATATGCAACACAGACATCCATCGAGTAGCAATAGTTGTATCGAGGCGCCGTTCGTTTAGGAGTCACAACAAAGAGAAAATTTGATCTCGATTTTAGCATGCAAAACTGACCGGAATAATTTTGAATACAATTCATAAACGTTCTGTGTATTCTCTACTTATCCCAGTGATTGACGAGTATTGATTTTAAGATTGCCTACCTTCCTGAAGAATGTTGTTCTTTGGAGTCATAGAATCCGTCATCATTGAATTTGGGCAGTTTAGGCAGCTTGGCAAGATCTTCGAGGCTCGTATGGCGAGGGTAAAAGTACATCTCGTATTCCTTGCCTTTCGTTGCCCTTGTTGACGTTATGGGCCCGCAGTTTATCCTGACAACAACGAAAAAATTTTTACCAGTGTTGCACCAAACAGCATATCTCTTTGAGGTAAAACTGTGCTCGAACGAGCTTTTTCCCTCTGTATTGAGATTTTCAGCTTTATGCTGAATATGTAACGCACGTTGGCAAAAAACTCCAACATACTGTCAAAATTTAACTGTGTTTTTGGCGCATTAGACATTTCCCGGCCGCAAACGCCGAGAGATGTTTGAAGTGGTCAATCGGTGTAACATTGGGCCAGCAAGTACAACATTCGGGAACTTGGGGAAATCACTTCAAATGCCTGTTTCTTCTTCTTCCTTGGAAGTTTCGCCAACTACTTCTTGTTGTTGGAAGCCCTGTATCGTCTTGTTACTTTTTTGATCAGTTCGTAATGCTACATGGTTTCCCCAAGTGGCCCAATGTTACACCGATTGTGCTCATTTTCGAAATAATGAACTTTTCATCATGCCAAATGATAGAGAAATATAGTTACGCAGAGGCATTGTTATTTAAATTTGTTTTATCATCCCTCTTAAGTCTCTTTTCTCCTGACTGCGTCACATGCATTGAAGTTCTAATCATACATACATACGAGTCGCTGTTATAGCGCTCTTTGGCGCTTTGCGACACCTAATCGCCACAAAGCTCGATCTTCCCACAGGTTATCAGGGAGTTGACACTCCCTCATCTCACGTAACACCCCCTGTCGCCAACCTCTCACTGGGCGTCCCCTACGCCTCCTCCCAGGAGGAACCCAATCAAGCATCTTTTTTGGCAGCCTCTCTTCCGTCATTCTATTGACATGACCATACCAAACAAGTTGTTTGGTCATGACGTCGAACACGATGTCATTTTCGACTTCCATTATCTGACGCACTCTATCATTACGGACCCGATCTCTCCTAGAAATTCCTGCCGACCTTCTCCAGAAATCCATCTCCGTTGCTCTTCGCATATCCTGTGTCCGTTTCTTCAGCTGCCAAACTTCACATCCGTATGTTAATATACTTTTTACTACAGCGTTGTATATCCTCCTCTTGTTATCTTTGGAAATCCGCTGATCCCAGAGGATTCCATTTAACATCGCTATAGCCTTCCTTGCTAAGGTGTTCCTTTCCCTGATAGCTTGATCCGTCCTTCCATCCTGGGTCAACCGCACTCCCAAGTACTTGAAGTGCTCGCAGCAATAATTCACATGCAATAATTTGTACTTACTTGGGTACCCCTTCGGGATTTTGCGGCCTCCGCATGACGAGAAGCCTTGGCAATATGTGTATAAATACTCTTTTGACCCAAGGCGCCATTTTGTGCGTCTGGGGAGACCGAAAATGAACGTTTAAAACAACAACGGTGACGCAGATACTGTGAACACAAAAACATATAAATTAAACGTAAATGAAACAACATTTTATGGAGTCCGCACTGAAAAAAAATCTCGGTGTATTTACTAAGAAAAGGGTAAAATTATCAGGAGTTCAAGGTTCTATTTGATCCCAGTTTTTCCTTGGTAAAATTACGATTTATGGAATCGGTAATTTTACCGAGAAATCTCAGTAAAATTATTGAACTTTCTTGGTAATTTTACTGGACCTTGGTAAAAACGCCAATATTTTTTATCGACTGTGGTAGAATTACCGAGATAAAATGGCAAAGTTACCGGGAATTGATTACCAATAAAAGTGGTATTCTTAACTGAAAACAAGCAGTGAACTCCAACACAATGTGTTGATAAGGCGCGTCATTAACTCGCACATATCAACCCCTTTAGTTTTCATTTACAGAGATTTCAAAATAGACAAGCAGCACAACAAGAGAATTCACGACCCAACACTGCGAGGTCAACGACGCACCTTGACGAGACCGTGTATTGTGAATGTAGAAAACTATTTGATCGAATTTCAGTTTTTTGATCTGCCTCAAGCAAAATCTTATCAGATTCTTGAAGAAAAGTGCTACGGAATAATTTAAGCGAAGAAAGGAAAAGTTCTGTCGAATTCCTAGAAGATAAAGTCGATTTAAAGGTATTTTGGGGCTAAATCACCGGTAGTACCTATAAATCCCGTTATATTATTGAAAAGAAATTGACTCGATATAAATGCAATTACATTAAATATGTCTTGATTTTGTTACTTTAAACGTCTTTCCATGCAAAGAAGTTCAACCATGCCGTTGCTTTATTCATTCATGAATTGAAAGTAAGCAATCTACATCCCGAAAATCTACTGATTTGCCGTAAAAAATTGCAGAAACTTGATATACTAGGTCGATGCACCCACTCGTTGAATTTACCAACCAATTTCGTGAGTGCAAATGTGTAAAAATCAATATGCTATAGTCATTTTGGGTGCATTTATTTTTCATGAAACAATAATAATTTCAATCCCGAAAAACCATCAATTTTCCGTATAAAATCGAAAAAATCGAAATATGTCGACTCCCTGACGTGAAAATTAGATTCTACGTGTGTAAATACTCATATATCGAAATGCTGAACAGAAACTATGTGTGGACACAGTCAGAAGCCCGCGGCAACATTAATTCAACAGAAAAACTGTAAAAATTATATCGGATTTTAGCCGCTTTGCCCGCCTCTCCTCGTTACTTACAACAAACCGTTCTTATACTCATCTCAAAATTTTTCTCAGAGCTTTGGGTTATTATCAGCTTCTATTTAAACCCCGGTTCGATGGCCAAATCGACTGCCAAAAAAGCAAGCCACTGTTGAAGGGTTCTATGAGAAATTCGTGATATTATCGGCTCTCAGGAAATCACCCCATGGCTAAAATTGGTGGTATAAATGTTTAAGTGCTTAAAATAATCGTATTCAAGAAACTAAGGCATTAAACTATGGAGTCAATTTCTTTTTAATAATATAGCGAGATTTACTACCGATGATTTAGCTATTATAGCCCCAGAATGCTTTTAAAGCGCCTTTACGTTCCAGAATCTCGACGGAATTTTTTTTTTTTTTTTTTTTTTTTTTTTTTTTTTTTTGGCTTAAACGATTCAAGAGACACTGTAGTTAAAAATATGAAGATTTTTCGATTTGGACGTATAAAAAATGTTTAACTCGTTCAGGCACACCGTGTATTGTATGGAGTGCTGCTGTTATTCGACCCTTGTCTTCAGGTCAAAATTCTTACAAAGAAGCCCCTTGCAAGAGGCGAATTTTTTGTAATTTCTCCCAGTTTTTTCTCCGTTAGGTATATAATTGAATTTCTTGTCAAATTCTGAGACGATTCTTCGGATTTCGATTACTGTAACTTCTCTTCTATTCAGCCGATTTTTATGTATGAGGTCTCTTTTTATTTGTGTTTTAACGGAGAGTAAGGAATAAATTGCTAAACACACGCGAAACAATTTTTTTTGAAAATTGGATGAATCCTAGCGTGACGGTGAAATGGTTAATCAAGCGTAAGTAATTGGGCGAGGGGCTGAGGGTCCCGGCCGCCTGGCGACCGTCATCAGCTATTATTCGTCGGGACGCCGGGCAGACGCAGTGATCAGGAGCGTGGGGAAGAGAGGGCTAAGTGGATTCCTGTATGAGCCACGTTTAGCAAATGGTCTAATGAGTCTCGAGGCTCATCACAGATTGCACTTGCACAGATTGCAATATCAGAGCACGGGTACCAACTTTTGAAAATCATAACAGCCGTGTGGAGATCTGTCAAAGCAACGTTTTGAACAAAACGGAGTGAGTGAAATTCTCATTCTTAAAATGCCGAACTGGTCAGTCATCCTCGAATCAGTTCGCTTGCTTCTGCTAATATATGCATATTTTAAATCAGCGCGTCGTACTCTTAGGCTTTTTTTAAAAAAACCAAGTAACGTAGACTCTTGATATTCACTGCACATAAACTAGAAAGCCCCAGAATGAGAAACAACTTTAAATCATAATTATTGACGGATAAATAAACCTTTTACATGCTTTGGAAAATCTCAGAAGTTCGCGGTAGTCACTTTTCGGTAAGGAACTAAGGGACTCGGTTATTGTATCGAGCAGGGTTCGAAACGATCGCAAAGGCGGTATACTACGTATACGCGCCAAAAACAGTAAGAATACCGGTTTTTAGGTAAGCTTACCAGTCTGTCTTGGTGAAATTACCAATAATTGGTAAAAAAAGTGAGTTGGTAAAGGTACCAACGGACCTTGGTAAAAATGCCGAGAATTTTTTTTCAGTGCGACGATTCATTTATCATAAATTTAATATCGAATAGGAATATAAACACATAGGCCTTCGGCTGCAATTCTGTCAAATTGTAGCTCCACCATGTAAAATATCAATAAAATATCTTTTGCTCAAAAAAAAGAGACCATTTATCGACTCTTTTCCATAGGTTTAAATGACAGATCAGTCGATACATCGCAAAGCACACCACGCCACTGGACTAAACCGACGCTTGGAGGTCATTATGATCGTTCTCCCGGGTAGTGGATTGATGAGTTCAGAATACGAAATTGAGAGAAAAAAGCAGTGGCGTGGCGTGCTTTGCGATATATCGATTGATCTTCCATTTAAGTCTATGGAAAAGGATCGATTATTAAGGTGTTCGCGGCGAACACCTTGATAATCGATTCTTTACTACAGCTTCAAATGGAGAAATATTGATAATCGATCATTCACGCCACGCGCCACTGGAAAAAAGAGCTGTTCCCGGCTCGAGAGTGAGAGTGAAATTAGGCGATCAGAGCAGCTTGATGCATTATTCCGGCGCTTTTCCCCTCGACCCTCAACTTTGTAACTTTGAATAAATCAAAGGAGTCATTATGTAATACACAGTTTTTCCGCTTTATTTTTTTCCTCTTCCGTGACAGATCTCCGACAAAAAAGAGGAAAAAAAAGAAAAAAAGCGTTGTAATATTTTCTGCGATATTAAACGGTTTATTCCATTGGAGCTTCGTCACAGCAATATTCATTTATATCATGATTTTAAATGAGAGGAAAAAAATCTCTAAATATAATTTTTGGAACTGCTTGGCTTTGATTTATCCGCGAAATGGTGTGGACCGAGCACTATTTCTCCACCTTGTTATTATGATTTTATTTTTGTTCAAATTTTTGTTCTATTCAGATTCAATCAGACCTTGAGGTTTGTGATCTGATATCTTATCGACTGCGAAACTCGTACATCAAGTACACAGAGAAAAATTTCAACACAAACGTTTGGGTAATACGGGAAGTAAAGCACGAAATAACCCTAGCCTTCGGTTGACAATTTCAAGAGAAAACGCATGCTAGTTTTCTTGACGATATTTGATTAAAAAAGAGTGGTAAATACCATAACGTCACAATCGGAGGAATGCATTTTCCCAGTCCCTCTTTTGTTTTCTGCGCTAAATTTACCGAAAACTGTATCAAAACCAACACAAAATTTGTGTTGGTTTTTGTTTCACATCCTATATTAACCAAAAGTAACACAAGAACACAGGGCCGGATTTGGGGATGGGCCACATGGGCCGCGGCTCATGGCGGCATGGGGGCAGCAAATGCTGTAATTTTTTCAAATGTAGGTATTAAGAGAAAAATCTGATTCAGAAAAAAATACAAACGAGAAAATGCGAAATAATCTCTCATTTACTGAGAGTTAAAGTATAAAGTGATTTCTAATTTGTTCGTCTTTCGGTGAAACAAGAGACAGCGCCTTTCATTAGTCTAGTTGAGAGAGAAACCAAACACGTAATTTGGCCTGGGGCGGCGCGGCGCAGAGAGCAATGGTGACGCGGACTTGAGATAGAAAGGAGAAGCCCACTGCGCGTCGGTTAGCATGAAACACATATTAGCGCCTACAAGACTCTGTGAATACTTCACGCATTGCGTCAAACGTAGTGTGGTCAGCAGCGATCGTCGTGAAACGCATGGCGCCTACAAGACTGTAGGGATACTTCGCGCATTGCGCCAAACACACACAGTGCGGTTGGCGAGGTGGCGGAAATTAAAATCATTAAACCACATTCATGTTTATTCTTTCATAATTTTTTCGTTCTTTTCTTATAAATGAAAAACCTCGTTCGCACTAACATAGGTATACAGAACTTAATTTTCGCGCAAAAATCCGTGAACTTTTGCTAGTGTTGACAGTGCTTTCACAAAAAAATGTGCCCAACACGAGTAAACGCGTCTTATGCACCCCTCCTCCATCGACACGTTCACTTGATGGTTTGTATCGATGTTTCAAAACAAATGAGAAGGGGCGGCAAAATACAGGCGACCCGTTGGTAGCAAGTAGGTAAATCCAGCCCTGCAAGAACATAAATATTTTCAAAGGCAGCCAATCTTCAAACACAAAAAGTATCACTGCCAATCTTTAGATTCTAATATCAAACCAGGATGGCCAAGAATGTTCATAAATGGCTCTTCTTC